GTAGCACGGGTAGGTGCATGAGGTATTAAACGGTGATTCCAGACAACCCCAGCACAGTTCCTAGCACGTTCGAGGACGAACGTATGTTTAAGTGGGAGAGGATGTAACGACCCGACCGGTCGTTTTGAGCCCTAGCGCGCCGTTCAGCAGTTCGAGACCATGAGAAGCTTCAATTCAGGCATTATGACTTGTACTCGTGGTCGGAATTAAATTTTGGGAAATTCAGAGTTGACTTGGAGAGGAAATTCTCATTTCGGAAGCTTTAAGTTGAGAAAATTGACTAGGATGGGATCTCAGGGTAAGCAACCTCGGAATAGGGATCTGAAGGTTCCAGTAGCTTCGTATAATTATTTTGGACTTGGGCGTATGCCCGGATCGGGTTTTGGATGACCCGGGAGCGTTTTGGCGTCTATTGTGGAAGTTAGCATTTTGGAGGAAATTTCATAAGTTTGGGTTGAATGCATTTCAGTGTTATTGATATCCGTTTGGGATTCCGAGTCTGCGAGTAGCTCCGTATGGTGATTATGGAGTTGGGAGCGCGATCAGAAATGAATTCGGATGTCCGGGGAGCATTTTGGAGCCATTTGGCTAAGGATAGAAATTTGAAGGTTTTTGAGAAGTTTGACCGGAGGTGGAATTTTTGATATCGGGGTCGGAATCCGATTCCGAAAGTTGGAGTAGTTCCGTAATGTTGAATATGACTTGTGTGCAAAATTTGAAGTCAATCGGACGTGATTCGATAAGTTTAAACATCGAAAGTAGAAGTTTGAAATTCTAAGGTTCATAAAGCTTGGATTGGAGGTCGATTGTCCATAATGTATTTTGGGACTGGTTGGTATGATTGGTTGGGGTCCCGGGGGCCTCGGGTGGACTCCGGGTGGTTAACGGATTGAATTCGGAGTTGAAGAAAAGCTAAAGTTGCTGGTTGCTGGTGTAATTGCACCTGTGAGACTAGGGCCACAGGTGCGGAGCCGCAGAAGCGGCCCAATGGTCGCTGATGCGGAATTTGGCGGAAGAGAGCTGGGACCGCAGATGCGGTCGTTTTGCCGCAGATGCGGGACCGCATCTGCGAAAAAGAGGGCGCATAAGCGAAAATGGACTGGGGAGCCCGGACCGCAGAAGCAGAAATTTGCCTCGCACCTGCGAAATCGCAGACACGGTCAAGTGACCGCAGGTGCGGAAAGTGCTGGAGGAAGAGAGTGTTTTAACAATCGGGATTTGGCCATTTTCTCTCATATTTTCTTGGCTTCGGCGATTCTTGGAGGGTTTTCAAGAGGGGATTTTCATCATCAACGATAAGGTAAGCTAATCCCATCCCTCTTGAGTTAAATATATCGAGTATGTATGGATTTTAGCATGTAAATCGGTAGAAATTTGAGGGTTTGAGGAAAACATAGAAAATTGATATTCTTGGAATTTGACCACGATGTTGGGTATGAAATTGAGAATAAATTATATATTTGAGTTCGTGGAGTTATGGGTAAACTTGTTCTTCGAAAAATTTCGGAATCCGGGTACGTGGGCCCGAGGGCGTTTTTGCCAACTTTTCGATCGGGGTTAGGAATTGTTATAAATTGGATTGTAATGAGTAATTGAGCATATATTAATGGATTTGCATAATTATTGGCTAGCTTTGGAGCTTTTAGTATCGATTCGAGTCTTCGGAAGGGCGGGGAATGCCGGTTATAGATCTTCGGAGCAAGGTGAGTCTCCTTTCTAACCTTGTAAGAGGGAATTGTCCCCATAGGTGAATTAATTGGTTATGTGCTCCTATTTGTGGGGGCAACGTACGCACGAGGTGACGAAAGTGCGTGCGTAGCTACTAATATGTGTAAGTCCGGGTAGTCTAGGACCTAAAAGCATGCTATACTTGGAATATCTATGATCTTATTGACAATAGAATTTCTTAAATCCTATCGAATTGGTAAATAAATTTCAAAGAGGATTAAACTTAATTTTCTTAAATCATTAAAAGAGGATTGGATTTTATTTGGATAAATGTTCCCCGATAAACTCTTAATTTGCTGTTTGAGCATGTATTTCTATGTGTACCTGCGTCGCATGTATAGTACGCGAGCAGGGTGATTGCTTATTTAAATTTGACCGCGTCGCATGTATGATTCGCGAACGGGGTAATAGATGCATCTATGGTTCGTGCCGCTCGACCCTCGGCAGTGCACAATTTACATTTATGTTGGATCGGGCCATACGACCTCGGCATGAGTTGCGCATGCTTGTATTGCTTCCCTTGATATTTATTGATATTGCCATCTGCTCTCCCCGACTTGAGATAATTGTTAATTAATGGATTATAAATCCAGAGACTTTTAATTAAAAAGGAACTTTTACCTGTTTAGTAATTCATTTGAATCTACTGCTGTCCTTAATAAATTTGTGAGACATTGCTTGATAATATTATTATTTGACCATTAATAAGTGTCGAAGTTGTCATCTCGTCTCTACTTCTTCGAGATTAGGCGGGATACTTACTGAGTACACGTTGTTTTCGTACTCATGCTACACTTGCTGTGCATTTTGCTGCACAGGTACAGGTATTTCTACTGGCCTATTGGGCGTAACAGCATGGGCGACCCGGAGACTAAGCGAGCTGTATTTCCTCGAGGCGACCCGCAGCTAGTATAGTCTCTTTCGGTGTATTGTATTTACTTTCTGTCTAATTTGTATTCCGGACGGATGTTGTATTGTATGGTTTCTTAGAAATAGCTCACACACTTGTGACACCGGGTTCTGGGGATGTCTATGGGTTTATTCAGAATTTTAAAAGTTGTTAAATGTTTCCTTTCTTATTCAGTGGAATTTACTATGTATAGTTTAAGCGTATAAAAGAAGAGATTTCAGAAATATTTAAAACGAGAATTTAATTAAGTAATTTGGTTGGCTTGCCTGACAGCGGTGTCCGGCACCATCACGACCCTTAGTAGATTTTGGGTTGTGACAAAAGAATGATCAAATATTATTAGCAGTAAAAAGTTAAACCATAATAATTCCAGTAATGTGTAGTGGAGCTAGGTATGCTTTGAAAGATCATAATTGTAGCAAAACCAAAGGTAAATTGAAGCGTGCAAGCCAGCCTTTTAAAGGGTACAACCTCAACTTGGATCTCGGCTTCATTTATTGTGTGCTATTGCTAGACAACATACAAAAAGTCAGACACCACATCATACTTGAATCATCAGTTTCTACTTGGACCAAATAAAACAAGTTTATGTATACTTACTGATCATCCATGATAATAAAATCTTGAATTCTCTTCCCATTTGAGGCATAGGTTGAGGGGCTGGCGTTGAGCACAATGGAAAGAACATCTTGCGTTTAAAAAGAACGATGAATAAGTTAATAGATAATAAAATTATTATAAACAATAATCGTAATAATAACAATAACAATAATAATAATAATAACAATAATAATAATAATAAATATAAATTTTAGGTGAACAAACAACATAAATAGTTAAATATTCAATTACCGAATTCAGATCCCACGGGTTGATATTCAAAGTTGCCAAATGGTGTAAGATTTAGGCGCGTTGACGGCGGTAGTGGATCTTTTGGAGGATTAACAGTTTCTATTGGCTCAACAATGGTGCTCCTATCAATTATTCATGTAAATTTGTTAAGTGGATTTACATACATATAGTTTGATTCTTTGACTTGTGCAATTGACACCAAGTAAGTATGGAAAGGGCGAAGCAGATCTTCAAAGTGCATTATCTCAGCATTGAATATAATGCATTCGACTTGATCTTCCTGTAACAAAATAAGACACAATTAGGATAATATTAATTTATTTACTATTTACAGAGTTATGAATCCTCTAAAGAACACCTCTTCGTCTTACAAAACCATCAGTTGATACTTTTTCATTTTCTCTTTGCTGTCTCTAGGTCTGCCTTTATCAACTACTTGAATCTTGCAGGTCCATTCTTCCGAGTTTGGAGTAATCGCATTGATGTTGAACTTTTGTGCCATCTAGATGTAATCTGCAAGTATAACACATCATAATATCATAATGAACATATTCAACATTGCCAGAATGACTATAATACAAAATGGAAGAATACAGAAAATGAACAAATTGTACGTCAAACTTACTGTTAGGAATGATGGTCTAAGTTAAAGAAGAAGCTTTTTCGATAATTTCACCATAGACTACATTAAATGTGGAGTGATCATCATCATCGTCAGCAGTAGCTGGTCTAATTAATACCTTGACACAGTTAGAGCCTTTAGCTCTCGATAAAGCAACGTACAACTGGCCATGAGAAAATACAGATTCTCGCAAATAAATGCCAACAAAATCTAATATTTGGCCTTGAGCTTTATTTATAGTCATGGCGAAACATAACTGTATTGGAAACTGTGTTCTTTTAAATTGAAGGGGTAGTTTTTCATCTTCTGATGTTAATAGTGGTATTCGCGGAATGAATACATGTGTATTTTTAAAATCACCACTGGATATTGTAGCACTAATAACATGAGATTGAAAATCATTACATATTAATCGTGTCCCATTGCACAAACCTTCGCAGGGATTCAAATTTCTTCATAATATAATGGCACAATTTTTCTTTAAACACAATCTATTAGGAGGTAAACCAGGAGGATTTAAAGTGTGCAAAAAATCTTCATATTCACTTTGATCTTTTGGATCAATTGTTTCATCATTAGCTAAATAGACTTTTTCATCAGTTGGGAATTGAGCAATTAGCATATCATTTATTTCATCAACGAAGTCGTTCTTTGTAGTTAGAATTGCACGAGAAGTAAAAAAGGAAATATTTGAATGAGTTAAATATAAATCAAGATAAGTAACTTTAAATAGATTATTCAAGGAATCTTTTTCAGTAGTGAAAGGTATGATCAGAGAACGCGGAATTTCTATTTTGCTTTTATCATTTTTCTTTCTTTTCCATTATCAATTCTCATTAAATATTCACAAAAAGTTGGGTCTGTTTTCGCACGCATATTTTCGGACAATTATAATTTTTCAAGTCGATGCCAAATTTCAGAACATAGTAAGCTTTCACGAGCAAAATCTTTCCTTTGTCCAGCACGCACAACGGGAAGAGTTTGTCTAAAATCGCCATTGAATACAACAACCTTTCCGCCGAACAGCATTGTTGTTTCCATTAAATCTCTAAGGAGCAAATCTAGTGCTTCAATCATTTCCTTTTTCGCTATTGAAATTTCGTCCCATACTATTAGTTTCACATCTCGAATCAATGATGCCAGTGAACTTTGTTTACTAATACTGCAACTAAAATTTCCATCAACATCAATAGGTATTTTAAATCGGAAATGAGCAGTTCGACCTCCAGAAAGAAGTGAAGCAGCAACACCTGAACTCGCAGTCGCTATCCTCTATGTCTCACTGTAGCTAATAAGTGTGACGACCCAAAGGGGTCATCACTTGTTTCTTTCCCATTCTGTGCTTCCGAGGCCTTGAAAACCTCATCTAAGATTACCTCGATTTGCATGCGCAGTCCGGGCGTGTAGCCGAAAAGCTTAAAAACGAATTCTGTGAGAAAAATGCTAAATTTTGATATTAAATTGAATAAATTTGACTTCGGTCAACATTTTGGGTAAACGGACCCGGACCCGGACCCGTAATTTGACGGTCCCAGAGGGTCTGTAGGAAAATATGGGACTTGGGCGTATGCCCGGAATCGAATTCCGAGGTCCCAAGTCCGAGAAATGAATTTTTGTGTGAAATTATTTTTTGGAAATAAATTAAGAAAATTGGAAATTAAATTTGATTAGAAGACTATGGTATCGGGCCCGTATTTTGGTTCCGGCGCCCGGTACAAGTCTTAAATATGGTTTAAGCGCCTTCTATAAAGTTTGGTTGAAAACGGACGTCGTTTGACGTGTTTCGGACTTAAAATGGGAATTTGATGTTCTATGAAAATTTGGAAGAAAACATGAGCTTTGAGGCTTGATTCGATGTATATGATGTTATTTTGGCAATTTGATCGCACGGATAAGTCCGTAAGTTGTTTTTGTGGTTGTGTGCATATTTGGTTTGGAGCCTCGAGGACTCGGGTGAGTTTTGGATAGGTGTCGGATTGCATTTTGAACTTAAAAAAATCTGGTATGCTGAGCTCTGTGGTCTTCGCAATTGCGAAGATCGTCTCGCAATAGCGAGCTCGCAAATGCGAGTTTTGCATCGCAATTGCGAACTGTGGGATTTTGGCTATGATCGCAAATGCGATCCCTGTAGTCGCAAATGCGAAAGTAGGGGTGGTCGCAAATGCGACTTCACCTTCGCAAATGCGAGGTCTGGCAAATTGTTAAGGGTTCGCAAATGCGAACCCAGCTTCGCAATTCCCACAAATGGTCGGGGTTCGCAATTGCGAACCCCAGTTCGCAATTCCCATATCTGAGGCCCAGCAAATTTCATGCTTAGTCGAATTTTCACCATTTTTTACCATTTTTTCAAGACCCAAACCCCATAGGCGATTTTTCAAGGACAAAACTTCTCCAAATCACTTGTAAGTCGATTTTTACTTAGTTCTTTCAATCATTTACATCATTTAACATGTTTTCCACTTAAAATCAAGGAATTTCGTGGTTCAAATTGGGGGTTTGGGGTAGAACCTAGGTTTTTCTAAAATTGGGGATTTGGACCTCAATTTGAGGTCCGATTTCAAAACAAATCATATATTTGGGTTCGTGGAGGAATGGGTAACCGGATTGTGGTTCGAACCTCGGGTTTTGACCACGTTGGCCCGAGGGGAGTTTTGGTTATTTTACCTAAATTTGCGTCTTAGCTTTAAATTAAATAGTAGAATCAGTTGCTTGAGATGTTATTTACGAGATGTAATTGAAATGAATAGATTTGAGCCATTTGGAGTCAGATACTCGTGGCAAAAGTGTGGTTTCAAGTTTAATTTGGAGCTGGTTTGAGGTAAGTATCTTGCCTAACCTTGTGTGGGGGACTTCCCCTTAGGATTTGAGTCTTCTTTGTTGATTGTATTCCTTGTACGCAAGGTGACGAGTGCGTGCTCGGATTTATTTGTGGAAAATTGCCCCTTTTAGGTTCTTAGATCCTTGTAATCACCGAATATGAAGTTGTTCTTGATACGATTGAGTTCCCTGTTATTAGTTTCACCTCTACATGACTTACTTGGAATTTATCTGCCCTTTTTGGTTATTCTTGTTGCCTAATTGACTTTTACTTGTTTAATTGTAGACATTTACCCTTCTATAGTCACATTATCATTCCTAACTGCTTGTCTTTATCTGGAAAGCATTATTTCTATCTCTCGTGTAATTAATTGGTCTTAATTGGAAAGAAGTTAGATATCCTATGTTAGT